GAGGAGCTTATAGGAGCTGGAGCAGCTGGAGAGAGAGAGTATAAGAGAGAGAGATATAGACAGAGATATAGTAAGAGAGAAAGAGCGAGGAAGAGTTGCGTTTGGTCAACTCTGAACTTAAAATGAGCGCACAAAAAAATTCACCGACACTTTTGTTGTGCATCAGTTTCATCTTTGCTGTGTGTATCAACCACTAAAATGGCCATTTAAAAAAATCTCAGTAAATCTGTGGACCAGCTGTGTTTTTCACTGCTGTAGGAAGAAAACCTCGTATCTCCAAACGGTAACTTTACAGGAGAAGGAAAAAACATACTTTACTTTAAATGTAAGTCAATGGAACCAGAATTTTTCCCAAGTAATTTTGGGCCGTTTCTTTTAGTCCATCCTTCAAGAAATTTAAGATTAAGAGACTCTTATTAGTCCCACAATGGGGAAAGTGCACCTCTGCATTTTAAACCATCTGTGCAGTAAAACACCACATACACACTAATGAACACACACACTAGGGGGCAGTGGGCACGCTTGCCCGGGGCGGTGGGCAGCCCTATCCACGGCGCCCGGGGAGCAGTTGGGGGTTGGGTGCCTTGCTCAAGGGCACTTCAGTCACGTACTGTCGGCTCAGGGGATCGAACCGGCAATCTTCCGGTCACAGGGCTGATTCCCTAACCTCCAGCCCACCACTGCCCCCATTACACATGGTGTAAACAGCAACAGGCTTTTTTTAATTATGTCAAAAACTGCAAATTGGCAAAAATGGAGACACAAGGTTTCGTTCCGACAGCAGCGTTTTATTTTGCCATTGCTTTTTTTAAAATATGTAAAAACTACAACAGCAAAAAATAGGCACTGAATACCTGAATGATTCAAAAAAAATTTTAAATAAAAACAAATTGTTTTATATACAAAAACAGGCTACATTAGCTTCAGATAACTCCTAAACCTCTTTAAATGTCCCCAGTGAACAGTTTTTTTAAAACCGCCCATTCACTTGAACTGGACACCAGACATATTTTTTTTTGTTTGGGAGCACACATCACATTGCAGTGCATGCTGGGGCCTGTAGTGCAGTTCATGGTGAGATGGGCTAATATTAATAGAAAATTAAAATAATTTTGCGTACCTGAAATGGAGATTCTGATCAGTTCTGCCGCTGAAACATAGATTCTGATTGGTTCTGCCACTGAAATGCAGATTCTGATTGGTTCTGCAACTGAAATGGAGATTCTGATTGGCTCTGCTGCCGAAATGGAGAATCTGATTGGTTCTGCCGCTGAAATTGAGTTTCTGGTTTTGCTCTCTCTCTGTTGGTGCCAGTAAGCGCTCTATGCAGTTTAGAAAAAGCAAACTTTTTAAAAGTCAGAAAGTGGTGAATTTTCACCCCAGTACTTTGAAAAGTGGTTCGCCCCTGTGGTTCTGACGGCCCAGATACTTCTGATCCTGAGCATCTTATACACTTCAATAATACAAGAAAATAATCACATTGCACAATCACATCATTCTACTATGTAAAAGGGGCTAAGAAGTTTTGTTTATTTCACATTTAATTCTTTTGTAATTTTAACACTATGAAGTTTGGGCAGTGGGGATGCTGTGCACTCATTACTCAACCTCAAATTTAGCTTATGAGCACAGCCGTTGGCTCGCGAGCTGCTGAATGCTGTCGTTTCATTGGATCCCTAACAAAGCATCTGCATGAATTAGGGCGTGCTTCATGTAAATGATATGTAAATAAGGTACTAGAAGATCATTTGCGCTTAAATCTCCTCTCGTTTACACGCCGTACAAAGGTTTCATGTATCAGACACAAAATAGTTCATACATCAGTAAAGCCGGTTAAATTTGCGTTCTTTTTTACGCAACTTTGATGAATAGGGGCCATTAAGAGAGAGTTTGAGTGAGTGAGAAAGCCACGGAGAGATAAACATAGAGGAAGAGAGCAAGAAAGATAAAGAGAGGGAGTGAGTGAGAAAGAGACTGAAGGAGAGAACAAGTGATAAAGAGCAAGATAGAAAGAAAGAGAGAGGTAGAGTTAGCGAGAGGAAGACCGAGGGAGTGAGGACGAGAGAAAAAAACAAGAAGGAGCAAGACAGAAAGGATGACATTGAGAGAGAGAGAGAGGGAGAGGGAGTTTTGAAAGGATTAAAGAGATTATTATATGTGGAGCAGTGGAGTAGATGAGGGAGGAGGGACAGGGTGATAAAGATGGAGTTAAAAAGACCTTCCTTTGAACTCTTGCACAGGAAAGAGAGAGAGAGATTGAAAGATAAGGAGAGAGAGAGAGGGAGAGAGAGATTATTTTATCTCAGGCTTACAGAAATGGAAAGAGAGATTAGAGATTCTGTGAGAGTGCTAGAATGTCTGATAGTCTGCCACCTCTGTACGTTTCAAGGTGATTTTTCATCGAACTGGACAAAACAAAGCCGGACAGTAAACACTCCGTGTCCCGATGCTTACATTGATTTCTCTCCAGAGCGGCTCAGCGTTGATGGATGTAAACAGTGTTTTTAATTGCAGCTTCAAACAGAAGGGCTGTCTGTGTGTGTTTGTGTACTTGTGTGGCGTTTGATTTTAATAGGCCTCTCAAACTTGTCGCGAGAATACAGCTACAACCTGTTCCCTCACTTTGCCCTGCTGTTAGTGGTAAAACACTCACAGCATTGGCTACAAAAAATGACAGCGAGATTCCTGGTAAGGCAGGTTGGTGGTCACTGTTCACGCCAGCACTTGCGCACGTACTCTCACGTACAGAGATTGAAACAGGATTGCTGCTCAAGATTGCTTCTTTCTACTTTATTGGCCGACAGATTGGATTGTGAGATCTGAGCGTCCAGCGTGTGTGAAATTCCCGGGCAGTCGGAAGTCCTCAGTCCGCTAGAGAGACGCAATGAGCCATTCTGCTGTGAATGTGATGAAACTAGGTCTGGCAGTAGGGTGATGCAATTGGATATCAGCGATGATGGACAAGCTGATGGCGATGCCTCAAAGGCAGTAATTGCAGTGTTAGTAAAAAGAACTGACCGAGAACTGAAGAGCACAAATTTAATTTAAACAGCTTCCTGAGTTATATTTACAGAGCCCTGCTGGTGACGTTCCATATAAATAAAAATAATGCGTGGCCACACCTTATTAACGGATCCTAATGTGTGACCATGACTTATTAAGGCATGGGAATGAGATAATGGCCACGACTTAGTAAGGCGTAGAAACGAGATCATGCCTAAGTCGTGGCCACGCATTTGGATCTCGTTCCCACACCTTACAAAGTCGTGGCCACGCATTAGGATCTCGTTTCCACGCCTTACTAAGTCGTGGCCATGCATTAGGATCTCATTCCCATGCCTTACTAAGTCATATCCACGCATGAGGATCTCGTTCCCATGCCTTACTAAGTTGTGGCCACGCATTAGGATCTCATTTCCATGCCTTACTAAGTCGTGGCCACGCATTAGGATCTTGTTCCCACGCCTTACTATGTCGTGGCCATGCATTAGGATCTCATTTCCACGCCTGACTAAGTCGTGGCCACACATTAGGATCTCGTTCCCATGCCTTACTAAGTCGTGGCCACGCATTACGATCTTGTTGCCATGCATTAGGATCTCGTTCCCATGCCTTGCTAAGTTGTGGTCATGCATTAGGATCACGTTCCCACGCCTTACTAAGTCACGGCCACGCATTAGAATCTCATTCCCACGCCTTACTAAGTCGTGGCCACGCATTAGAATCTTGTTGCCATGCATTAGGATCTCGTTCCCATGCCTTGCTAAGTTGTGGCCACGCATTAGGATCTCATTCCCATGCCTTGCTAAGTTGTGGCCATGCATTAGGATCATGTTCCCACGCCTTACTAAGTCGTGGCCATGCATTAGGATCATGTTCCCACGCCTTACTAAGTCGTGGCCATGCATTAGGATCTCATTCCCATGCCTTACTAAGTCGTGGCCACGCATTAGGATCTCGCTCCCATGCCTTACTAAGTCACGGCCACGCATTAGGATCTCATTCCCACACCTTACTAAGTTGTGGCCACGCATTAGGATCTCGTTCCCATGCCTTACTACATTGTGGCCACGCATTAGGATCTTGTTCCCACGCCTTACTAAGTTGTGGACATGCATTAGTATCTCGTTCTCCTGTCATCAGGAGATTGCGAGTTCGATCCCTGGTGATGCTACAGCCGTCTGTGGCCGGGAGTCCAAGAGAGCACAATTGGCCTCGCTCTCTCTGGGTGGGTAGGACGATGTGGTGGTGCTTCACAGGTCTTGGAGCCAGCACTGGTGCTGTTGTGTGACTGGGGGAGCCCTAACAAGTGGGTGGAATTGGATACGACTACACTGTGGAGAAAATTGGGGTAAAACCCAAAAAAAGAACCCACACCAGCAGGAGCTCACAAATGTAGTCACAACTTTCAAAACTATATTAAATAGTTTAATTAGCCACCAAAAATGTTGAGCCACTATATATTATATGTGATTTACATGAAATCATTGCTAAAACACACAAGCTAAATATAGCATAGAAAGTAGGCCTAAGGTGTGTTTGGAGGGGCTGAAGGGTGATATAAATAGAAATTGTGTTTTTAGATGTTGTCCAGGCCCAGATAAAATATTTTCAGTATGCCAAAAACTACACTAGAGCAATCAAATCAGTGACCACCATCTCCTAACGGAGCGACAGTTACTCAGTACCTCAGATACCTGCTCGTCTACTCATCCATACTGAAGTTGCAGATCTAGCTCAGTTTGGATTTCCTGATCCAAGGCTCTAGAGTGCCCCGTTGGTCCTTGAGAGGAAAGTTGACCTTTTCTTTTCCTTGGTAGTTCATGTTCCTGGTCATAGTAAGCATGATTCATCATGTCATACCATGTAAAAGACATAATTCCATCAAAGCCTAATGACTTTTGCCTACCTGTGAAACGTCTTCTGACTTTCGGGGAAAATAATTTCTGATTCACGCTTGACTTTTACCTTTATCTCTTTCTTCTCGTTGTTGTGTTCAGCACTCCCAGCTATAACTACGCTCCTAACCCGGATAAGCACTGGATCATGCGCTACACCGGCCCCATGAAGCCCATCCACATGGAGTTCACCAACATGCTGCAGAGGAAGCGGCTGCAGACGCTGCTGTCCGTTGACGACAGCGTGGAGAAGGTACACATACACACTGTACCTGTTAAAAACATATGTACACCGAATTGAATGTGTGTTCTGTTGCTGACTTAAACTAGGGTTAGGAATGGAATAACTTAGTCTTTAAGATTTGATTTGTATTTGAATAAATTCATATTTATTTCTGTCAGCTTTGCATCTGACAATAACATATGATGTAATTCCTCCTGTTATCGGCAGATATATAATATGTTGGTGGACACTGGAGAACTGGACAACACCTATATCATCTACACCTCTGACCACGGCTACCACATTGGTCAGTTTGGACTGGTCAAGGGCAAATCCATGCCTTATGAGTTTGATATACGAGTGCCCTTCTTCATACGAGGCCCCAACGTGGAGGGAGGAACCATGTAAGTGCATGCGGGCATGTGTGTGTGTGTGTGTGTACTGTGGATGTCTGTCTTTTCATCCGTGCAAGTAAATGTGCTTTATGATTAGATGTCAGTAGGTCTTCTTGGATTGTTGGGGTAGGAGCATAGATATACATACCTAGATGCCGTGTTGTCTGTTTGTCTCTGTTTGAGGCGATACGTCTGCACGTCCGCCATGTTGGAGAGGTCAAAATCCGCTTGTGAACAGATTCACTTGTATTGAGAGACGAAGAGTCTCAGGATTAAATCAGCCACAACTTCCTTATTACTCAACCGATTTTCACCACATTTGTTTTATTATAATCCTCAGATGTAGATTAATCTGGGCTGCACAGATCTGCTCTCGGTAGCTTTTACTACTTTAATAACTGACCATGATAATTAGCCGTCCGGACCAGCTGGAAAGTATTCAGTCTGCACCTGACATTAAAAACTGAGTTTAGTGCGAGAAACACAATCAGACTCATCAGCAAATCCATCAATGTGTGAATCACTTCTGATCGTAATACACATAGAAATAAAATAAACCCCCAAAACACAGTAAGAAGGACGAAGCTGAAGTTGGCTTCCTATTCGCCGGCTTCTTGTTCCAGTTTCCTGTTCCACCTTAAATGGTGCAGCCGTCACTTTCTGGTGCCTGAAGCTTCTCCATTTAAGGTGGAACAGGAAAATTTGAACAAGATGCTGGCAAATGAGAAGCTAACTTCAGGTTCATGTAAGAAGGTTCTAACGTTAATCTATTATGAATATCTACACGGATTAATTAATGCTATAACTTACTGAGCTACAAAGCTTTAACCATCACTGTAAATAAATAACTACTACATAAAATTAAGACCCCCTGAATAGACTATTAAATGAAATAAGCTTCATATAAAACCAGAGGAGAAACAATCACATCAACAGGTTCTCTGTACTTCACCAACCACACGGCCATATATACACATAAACACCTCACAAACATGAGTGTGGATCACTGCGTTCCCTCCGTTATATAATCCTATCCCACTTTCTGAGTGTAATATTCTTGAAATAGTGTAATTTTGGACAGAATCTTTCTGTCCAAACTGCCACTCTGTAATGGTACTGAATGCAGTCCAGCAGCGATGTTGACCACCCCAAAATGGCGGCGCCATTGACATGCCTTGCTGGACCCAACGCGGCGTCTAGGTATGTATATCTATGGGGGGAAGGCGGAACCGTTCACAAATCTCTTGTTTTGTAGAATATTATGATAAATTACTAAGGGAAGAAAAGATCACAACAGCGAGAGATAAGGCAATGACACATTATAAATTGCTATTTTATAGCATATAATTATCTCAATAATTTATGTGGTCTAATAATGTGATTTATTGCATTGTATCATATGATAATATTGCTTTATAATTAATTCCTGTTGCTGTTGGACTCTGATGTTCTTTCATTCTTTAAACTTTGCTCCTTTTTATCTAATGTGTATTGAATTTCCTCATATGGCTCTTGTTCACGCTCTCTCTCTCTCTCTCTCTCTCTCTCTCTCTGTCTCTCTCTCTCTCTCTGTCTCTCTCTCTCTGTTTCTTTCTGTCTCTCTCTCTTTCTCTCTTTCTGGTCAGCATTTAATAGCATTACTGTTTAGTCTTGTGTTGCTCTGTGCTCTGGCTGCACTCAGCTCTGCCGAAAAGCTGATTAGCAGCGGCAAAGCTCTCTCATGTGAAACTCATGAGACCTGTGGGACGGAGAGAGAGACAGAACGACAGAAAACGAGAGAAAGAGCTTCTTTTGTTTGACTTTTTTTCATTCTGTTCTTAAAATACACAGAAAATTGGGTGACTTTCAGTCAGTGAATTAAGTCTTTATGAGGCGGAACTGACCCCAAGCCTGAGCACCACAAAGGAGGGACAGTGCAAGTTTGGAAAAAGTGCTCAGATGAACAAGGACAGAAGTTTTTAGGGTGTATGTGGACCAGTAGATGCGCAGCATTCATGTGTTGTCCAGTTGTCCTGCAAGAGAGTCCATTTCATATTCCAGACTCTGTTTCTGGACTAAGGCCAGGGTCAGCACAGAACAAGTCTCACAAGGCTTTAATCAGGCCTGAAATTTTGAACTGCAGTTGATCCCTGTTCGGTCACCTTGTAGCTACAATAACCAGTCATCAGATCATTGGTATCCGCCAACAGATGGGTCATTCTACAGAAACGTCCACTTTTCTATCTCTCCATAGGAGTCACTGGTGTTACTGATCCTCATTGGTGTTACACATAGGAAAGGAAACACCAGAGACATTTTTAATGAAAAATGCATTTTACTAAATGTCTGCTACAGAACATCAAACCACATGTTGTCAATCATGGAATATCCACTAAAATATGGAATTTAATCCATTTGTATTCTGTTTATTCACAATTACCTCAGAATAAAGTCGGTCACACCAGTGACCTCAGCTAAAAGCTTCATATGAAATCATGAGCTAAATGAGAAAATCTCTGATAACTGAAAGTCACAGTGGACTCACCATGTGCTTTTCTTCATAGATCCTCAGAAAACAGGTAAAAGGAAGTCGAGTGATGTCATCGGTGTGACTTTTATTTCAAAATAAGAGATTTTTTGTGACGCAGTAACACCAGTGACACGACTCCTGGGGACCACAACTTTCATTATATATTTTATAATATTTATTTGCCATTTGTTTTCTTTATGTCATTTAAATCATATATTTCACAGTCATGTATAGATTATTGCAGTTAAAATTGTAGAAAAACATTTTTTTACCTCAAAATATGGCCTCATCCTTTACACATGACTGTGAGGACGAGCTCTTCTGTGGTGCTTGGAATTCTATATGACTGATTTAAAAACCAATATTGCTAAATTGAGGCTCAAGAAGGTGTAATTGTTAAAATAACTTATTGTTTTATTTTAAATATAAATAAATTGTAACCCTAACATATTTTTTCAAACGTGATGTATCTGTAAATGCTAGGGACACAAAAATGGACGTTTCCCTAGAATGACTCATGCGCCTATGTTGCCTCCTTTGTTTTAGCGACATTCCAGGGAAAAATGTACATACAGCAAAAAGTGTTATTTTTGTTTACCACAGCATTCAATAGCAGCAATTTTTGAAAATGTTATTCATTTTTTTTCCATGGAGAAAAACAGCTTAGATCCAATATTCTTAATATCGGCATGAACTCGACTACAGGATGATGGCACAACTTCAGTGGTCTATTTATAACTGAACTGGCCTCTCACTGTGCTGGCATTACCATTAAAATCTCTCCATAGTGGTCAACATTAAAAAATTGCTGATAAGCTTCCAAAATCAGCTGATCTCAGATCAGCACAGAAAATTCAACCCTTTTTCACTCCTGGGGACAACTTTCATTATATATATTTTATAATATTTATTTGCCATTTGTTTTCTTTATGCCATTTAAATCATATATTTCATATTTGTGTTTAGATTATTGCAGTTAAAATTGCAGAAAAATGTTTTTTATCTCAAAATATGTCCTCAGCCTTCACACATGACTGTGGGGACGAACTCTTCTGTGGTGCTTGGAATTCTATATGATTGATTTAAAAACCAATATTGCTAAATTGAGGCTCAAGAAGGTGTAATTGTTAAAATAACTTATTGTTTTATTTTAAAATGTAAATAAATTGTAGCCCTAATGTTTTTCAAGTGTAATAGATCTGTAAATGCTAGGGACACAAAAATGGATGTTTTAATATAATGACTAATAATCCATAAACAAAATCATAAGTAACAGTGTCATTACCAGCTGTCCAAAACTGAGTTTAAATTCCACATTGGTCTCAGAACCAGATGCAGGTTCCGCAAGTGTGTCTGGTGACAGGAAGATTTAATTACGGAACTGAATAGAGTGGATTGTGTCTGATAGCTCCTATCAATTCCAGTCTGATTGCACTCTGAAGATCATTAGCAGAAGGTCCTGCCTGTACTGCCAGCCCAATACTTAGCCTTTAGCCCCAGTTAGGGTGTGTAGTTTGCTAGGATATTAAAGGGAATTGATTTGAATGTGACCCTTCAGACAAATGCAGGATTCATTTCATTTATTTGTTCAAACCCTTTAGCAATGGCACAAATCCCATTTGAGTTCCCGCCTTGTTTTTTGTTTCCCTTGTGGTTGTAATTTGCTGGACAATATGGCAGACATACCTCAAGAAGGAGGGCTGATTCCACAGCAGTAGCAATATGAATATTGGTCATTCTACAGAAACGTCCATTTTTGTGTCCCTAGCCTTTACAGATATATTACTCTTGAAAAACATGCTAGGGTTACAATTTATTTATATTTTAAAACAAAACAGTAAGTTATTTTAACAATTACACCACCATAGAAGAGCTCATCCTCACAGTCATGTGTGAAGGATGAGGCCATATTTTGAGGTAAAAACATGTTTTTCTGCTATTTTAACTGCAATAATCTATACATGACTATGAAATATATGAATTAAATGACATAAAGAAAACAAATAAATATTATAAAATATATAATGAAAGTTGTGGCCCCCAGGAGTCGTGTCACTGGTGTTACCACATAACAAAATATCTCTTATTTTGAAATATAAATCTCACTGATGACATCACTCAACTTCCTTTTACCTGTTTTCTGAGGATCTATGAAGAAAAGCCCATGGTGGGTCCACTGTGTCTTTCAGTTATCAGAGATTTTCTCATTTAGCTCATGATTTCATATGAAGCTTTTAGCTGAAGTCACTGGTGTGACCCACTTTATTCTGAGGTAATTATGAAAAAATAGAATACAAATGGATTAAATTCCATATTTTAGTGGATATTCCATGATTGACAACATGTGGTTTGATGCTCTGTAGCAGCCGTTTAGTAAAATGCATTGTTCACCTTTCTTATGTGTAACACCAATGAGGATCGGTAACACCAGTGACTCCTATGGAGGGAGAGATAAGTGGGCGTTTCTGTAGAATGACCCATATAGGCAATATTTGTCACCTGGTATTCAGGGCTAATCCCACAATAAAGAATGTATTCATCATTCAGTGACTTCAAACAACGCCTCAACAGTTTCAGTCTGAATTAACTTTACATAATGTGTTGGTTTCTATTGGTCTCAACAGCAACACGAGTTGTTCATGAGGTTGTCGGATGAAAACTATTGAAGGAAAAGGTAATAAAAGTGGGGTAAATGGAGGTCATCATGTGTAATATGTAGAAGAACCCAACTCAGACCTGACAAATATTTGAGAAATGATATTAGAGCCTGACCAAGCCCAGTGTGAATAGCCGGGTTCCATTGGATTTGAACAGATATTTCAGAGTCTACAAGCTTCTGCCCAGTCTTATCTTGTATTTTTGCCTACAGGGGGCGCTAGAGAGGCGAGTCCAGTCACACTTTTGTCTATTTAGCCAGCTTTCTTTGTTCCATTGTCCTCCACATTACACTCTATTATCATCTCTCCTATGATGCTTTTATCTAACCACACTGTCCACTGTCCAAACCCCCTCTGTTTCCATAGCAACCCCCACATCGTGCTGAACATCGACCTGGCCCCCACCATTCTGGACATCGCCGGGCTGGATGTTCCTGCGGACATGGACGGCAAGTCCATCCTAAAACTGCTTGACACGGACAAACTGATGAACAGGTACGGCACCTGATTAACACAGATGGGAAGTTCTTTCCTAAAGAAAGGCTTCTGACCATCAATACACATAATTATCAGTTAACTTTTTCAAAATGTCCAGAATGATCCTTTGTCAACAACACTGGCATTGATACCCTTCCTGATTTCCAAAAATGAGGTAATGTGCAGTGTACCTGTTCCTTTCCAGATGTTGTAGTAAACTATACAGCTTTGAACAGGGCTGTGGGTGGAGCTATGGCCAACTAAAACATATAATGCTGTATTTTTATATATCATTCAGCATCCCTGACTGTCAATAATTATTATTACATGCATTTACTGTTTCTCAGTTTTAATTGAAGAGTACTTTGAACCCTGAAAAAAAGCAGATACTTTATTCTGGTGCATATGTGTATACACCAATCAGGCATAACATTATGACCACCTCCTTGTTTCTACACTCATTGTCCATTTTATCAGCACCACTTACTATATAGGTGCACTTTGTAGCACTTTGCTGCTGGAGTTTTTAAACACTGTGTCCACTCACTGTCCACTCTATTAGACACTCCTACCATGTCGGTCCACCTTGTAGATGTAAAGTCAGAGACAATAGCTCATCTGCTGCTGCACAGTTTGTGTTGGTCATCCTCTAGTCCCTCATCAGTGGTCACAGGACGCTGCCCACAGGGCGCTGTTGGTTGGATAATTTTGGTAGGTGGACTATTCTCAGTCCAGCAGTGACACTGAGGTGTTTAAATAGCACTGCTGTGTCTGATCCACTCAGACCAGCACAACACACACAAACACAGCACCACCATGTCTCTGCTACTGTAGTGCTGAGAATGATCCACCACCCAAATAGTACCTGCTCTGTGAGGGTCCATGGGGGTCCTGACCACTGAAGAACAGGGTAAAAGGGGGCTAACAAAGTATGCAGAGAAACAGATGGACTACAGTCTGTAACTGTAGAACTACAAAGTGCACCTATATAGTAAGTGGAGCTGATAAAATGGACAATGAGCGTAGAAACAAGGAGGTGGTCAGAATGTTATGCCTGATCGGTCTACATATATATATATATATATATATATATATATATATATATATATATATATATATATATGCGCTAACAGGTATGTAGACACACTGCCATCATGAGAACAAGGGTAAACAAAAACCTTTAATATTTAAAAAAGAGCGCCACACACTAGCTGTACCATATAGAGCTCCAGCTGACCTAATAAATTACAGAAATTTTGTTTATCTATGTGATGCTTATGACACTCAAATATTTATGGAAGTGTTTTGAGACAGTTTTGTTAGAATGACTCAATGGTTCCCTGTTCAAGACTTCTAAGACAGTCTAATCTTTTCATCAACGAAAACTCAAATTCACATTACTATTAATATAAAGTATAATGATAATGAAAAAGCAATAACCTTGATTTCCATAATTACCACTATCCCCAGGTCTAGATGTGACTAGTGTTTAAAAGAATGTCTTTTCTTATGCAAACCAGAGCCCTCAAACCGACCTTAACACAAAATAAAATGCTGACAGAGAACAAACCCACAACTATACAGGAACCTGCACTAGAAGTCCAGTTTAAGGCCCATTACAAAGGCAGTGGAGTGAGGACTGCACAACTTTAGCTCGCTCTCATTCTCCTCCTCCCCGTCCCCTCATCTCTCCATCCCTGCAGCAGAAATGAGAGGGAGAGAATGACGGAAGGTGGATCGATAGCTCATAACTCTGGCGAAGGTCAAAAGCCGCCGAGGATACTGTTTATTTCTCTTACAGTCTTTCATTCCATCATTCTTCTTTTTCATCAGCGCCATTCTAGAGAAGAAGGGAAAAAAGAGCATGAAACGGCGTTTCAATTTCTGTTCATCTGAACCCTTTTGACCCTCAAACGTTGTTCTGCCTTTTTCTCCCGCTCCCTCGTTCTTTTTCAATCTCCGGCCGAACCTGTTGCGTTTTGTCATCATTTTGAGCGCGGAGCCAAGTGCTCTGGGTGAAGGGGGGCTCTCATTTGGGAGTGAGTGGAACAGGCACTTGGCGTGATCGGCGGGCGAGCGAGCTGATCGATTTTCTCGCCTCTCTCCTAATCTCAGGTTCCAGTTCAACAAGAAGGGGAAAGTGTGGAGGGACTCCTTCCTGGTGGAGAGAGGGTGAGTCAGCAAGAGCTGTGTGTGTATGTGTGTGCAAGTGGATGCTGAACTTTGGGGGGCTCTAAGCGACATTCTACCCCATATCATAGAAAGTAATGTTCTTGCTGTTTTTTGAAATGAACAAGTTTGGCGTAGTATTGCGAAAGTTTCAATTTGTACTAGTCGAATCTCCAGTTCATATCTGCCATACATTAAAATTAAGCTGCAAAAAGAAATATTGTTTTTGTGATGTCACAAAAACCAGCTCTTTCACATTCAGGGTGATTTAAAAAGATTAATCCGATTTCAAAGCACATAATTTTACAACCGTGAGGCGCCGAGGAACCAATCACAATCCAATTGAAAGAGGGGGTCATAGAGTTTCTGACTGTCAGTGGAAGGTAACTCCTTTCAGTCTGAGAGGAGATGAGACCCCTGAGCAGAAAGCGTTCTGCGTTCTCCGCTTCAATAAGAGTGAATCCGTCATAACTGTGCAGCGTGATTTTCGTGGGCAGTGAAGCTCCAACAGCTCAGAGCGTTCGTCGTTGGTTCCACAACACTGGATGATCTCCGAAATCGCACTGAAAGAGCCGTGAGTGCAGCGACACCCGACATGCTCAATCCAGTATGGGATGAGTTTGACTATGGTGTTGATGTTGTCTGTACAGCTGGAGGAGGTTCATACTGAGACCTTGTACAATTACATAATAAACTTTATGCTCATTTAAACCATTTACAGTTCACTGCATTGATCTGTAATGATTTACAAGGGAAATAAATCATTTTGAAATCGGATGAATCTTTTTGAATCACCCTGTATAATCTGCCTAATCAGCCTATGGTTTAGCCCCGCCCTTTCAATCTGAAGTTCTAAGGAGTGTTCCAGCTCTGATGCTTTTTGATTGTGGCACAATATGGGGCAGCCAGTCAGAACAGAGCTCATTTACATAGCAGTCTTAAATGTACACAAGTAAAGGATTTAGGAAAATTGAAAAAAGGGTCATGTAGAAATGAAATGTGACTGCTTTTGGTATTAAAACCCACACAAGTATCATAAGTTGACTTCACGGAAAGAATTAGAAGTACATTTTAAGTACTTTAAGTACATTTTTAAAAATACATACTCCGAGCCCCCTATTGTCGTTATACCGCTTATAGCTAGAAACAGCCCTGAGGCTGTGGTTACATGTGTTTCATGATACTTATGAAAAAAACTATATTGGTTAATGAGTAATAAATCTTAAGATTAATAACTGAATAATAACTGTGCAGTTTAAGGGTTCAAAGTTGATTCAGAGGAAGCTAGATGGGTTTTAATAGTCCTCTGAAGTTGTGTCATTTTTTATTTGGTGTCTTGTCCATATTAGGAACTCCAGGTTTGAGCAGTTTTTCTCTATGGCAGTTTCAAAAATCACTGCAAACAAAAATGTTTCGAAGCCAGTACGTTTTGCCGTATGTACATTTTTCGCGAATGTAACTGGATCCTCTGTATTATGAGGTCGGTAAAGACCTGAAATACAAATGTTGCTACATGCCAGCTAACATGACTAGGACTGACAACCTCACCAAAATAGCCCCAATCAAACCAGTAAGCTTTGCTGAATGTGGTAGCCTACGGTTTGAGTAGCTGTTGTTATAGAATAGTCATTAATAGTTCAGTGGTAAACTTATAAGCATTTAATGTAGTTTCAGTTTGCAGTATTGTTAATTTGCTTGTAGCATGTATGAATTATTTATATTTCAACCATCTTTCCTTCATAACAGATCAATTATGTTGTCAGATTAACAGCTGCCTTAATTTCTCTTTTAATTCTACCTCTTCTATTTTTGACTCATCTTTTGTTTGTTTGTTTTTTAAATCACAAAATAATGAGAAAATATTGCATTATAACTTTTTCCCAGTATTCAGAGGAGACAGTGGCATGTAGAGGTAAAATGCACACAGGACAAAATAAATAAAAAAACTGCTTGGACCCACAGTTCCTAATTACGGAGCCCCTAAAGAGCCGTAAAAAAAAAAAAGTTAGTAACATTGCGTTCCCTCGCAAATGTTTTGCATTACAATGCCACGGTTTGCATTTGCTTGCAAAAGCTATGCTTTGCTTAAGCTCAGGCATGAAGCAGCTCATTGGATTTTACGTTGATCTTGGATTGAAATATAAAGACAGTGTTGCTTCTCAAAATCAAACATGGTTCTGCTGTTAGTGACTCAAACTGAAGCTGAGGTCGAGTTTCCTCGTACGGTAAAAGATTTACAGACGCTGCAGAGAACAACAGCTGAATAAACTCAGCACAGACTGGCGAAACTGGGAAAACAGCTTAGCTGAAAACAGCTCTAATGTAGGCAATGTCGTTGGGCACCTCTGGTCCTATGTTTGCTTGCTGTCTGACAAGCATATACTTTGTAAAGGAACGCAATGTCATTAACTGTTTTAACCACGGCCCCTTGGGGCTCTGTACCTAATACAGAGTTCTTAACCAGGTTTTTTTTTTATATGGTTTTATATGTTTTTTTTTTTAGTTTATTAATAGATTTAGTTTTGTTTTTATTTTCTGTTTTTTTTTATTTTTTGGTTTAGTTTTTATTTCATTTCAGTTTTAGTTTTCAGTATTTTGATGAACGCTGTGATGGCAGGTATTTGATAAGGGTGGAATAAAATGACCACACCTAGAGATTAAAGACAGTCAAACACAGAAGAGTTCCACCTCTAAACTCTCGTTCTTGCAATGAAAAAGCCAAATCTGACGTTTTTTCTCAGTAATTCTGTTACGTTTTAGTTTTGCAGACATTATACGATTGATTTAGTTTTTATATTTTTAAAAACTGTTGTTTTTATATTTATTACAGGTAATGAGCACATTTTTACTGCTAGTAATAGCTTTAGTGAGCTATAAACTCCGTTCCTTACATGAAGCCAACTACACAATGAATCATGACATCAGCGCTCTGTGGTCATTAATGGAGAGTTCTTTCTGTTCCTGCTCTTTGGTAGGAAACTACTTCACAAAGTGGTGCATGATGGGAAGGAAGTGGCTCAGGAGGAAAATTACCTTCCCAAGTACCAGCGAGTCAAAGACCTGTGCCAGCGTGCAGAATACCAAACACCCTGCGAGCAGATTGGACAGGTGTGCACACACATGCATGCATACAGTGATGTGATTAGAGTGAACAAGCAAAATAAGAGGAGGATGAATAATAGAAATAAGCCTTAGGCTACGTCTACATTACAAGCCTCGTTGCTCAAATCCGATTTTTTCCTCAAATCCGATCTCTCTGACACGATGGTTCACACTCGTTTAGGTAAGTGATTCAAATCTGTCATTATTGTGAACCGGCGTCCTGAAATGACCCTCATGAGCTCATCCTACTCAGTAACGTCACGTGAATGAATCACGTTCATCATCAGCACAAACTAACGAGCAGAACGAGCTTCGCTGAGAAGATCATTAACTCTGATCAGCTCTCAGCTTCATTATTAGAGCGAGACGAAGGAGAAAAAGGTGAGATGAGCTGCTTTTCCACCGTTTACAGGCTTTAACTTCTGTTCGGTGCTGCTGCCATGGTATCGCTGAATGATGGCGCAGTGGAGAAAAAAGGACACGAATTCCGATCTGAGCTTCTCATTAAAGTCGCATGGCCACAAATCAGATACGTATCTGATCTAGGACCACATATGGAAGGCTACGTTCACATTACCAGGCTGAAGTGGTACAAATTTGATTATTTGCCCTAATGTAACTCAGATCTGAAGTTTTCAGGGCTGTGTGGACACAAATCTGATCTTTTCAAATCCGACCTGAGCCACTTTCATATGTTGTCCTAGATTGGATATGTATCCAATTTGTGGCCATGTGACCTTAATGTCATGCTCAGATCAGGTGCTCCATCATTCAGCGTTACCATGGCAGCAGCGCCGAACAGAAGTTAAAGCCTGTAAACGGTGGAAAAGCAGCTCATCTCACCTTTTTCTCCTTCGTCTCGCTCTAATAATGAAGCTGAGAGCTGATCAGAGTTAATTATCTTCTCAGCGAAGCTCGTTCTGCTCGTTAGTTTGTGCTGATGATGCTCGTGATTCATTCACGTGACGTTACTGAGTAGGATGTGCTCATGAGGGTCATTTCAGGACGCCGGTTCGTCACATTAATGACAGATTTGAATCACTTACCTAAACGAGTGTGAACCATCGTGTTGGAGAGATCGGATTTGAGGAAAAAATTGGATTTGAGCAACGAGGCTTGTAATGTGAACGTAGCTAAAGTGACTCAAGTTTGATTTGAAAAGATCAGATTTGTGTCCACACAGCCCTGAAAACATCAGATCTGAGTCACATTAGGGCAGAAAATCGGATTTGTGCCACTTCAGCCTGGTGATGTGAACGTAGCCTCAGTTGCAGGCCTACAGACGTCTACCTGAAGCAAGTCTCAAGCCTGTAAATGTTCACTGGATGTTTTTTAGTTGCAGTAGAAGCAGGTGTACCCCTAAAACAAGCTGTAGTACTGTCTCTAAATTATGTATCATATATTTTTCCTAATATCATTCAACCCTGCTGGACCATCTTTCCTTCGTAACACATCAACTGTATTGTCAGATTAACAGCTGCATTAATTCCCTCTTTAATTGTGCCTCTTCTAGATTTGACTTATCTTTTGTGTTTTTTAATATCACAATATTCATCACCAAAAATAACTAAAATATTGCATTTTAACTTTTTCCCAGTATCGTTCAACCCTGCTGTACCTTTGCCTCAATGTGGACTGCTTATACAAACACACACACACACACACACACACACACACACACAGTCTATATTTATAAACTGTAATAGGTGCATGTGTGAGTCTGTAGAGAGAAGGCACTGATAGGATGTCCTGCAGAGAGATCTCTTTCTTTTTTCCTCACCACCTACACACACACACACACACACACACACACACACACACACACACACACACACACACACACACACACTGATGGCTAATGAAGGCTCAGTGGTAGACAGCTCTAAGCTGTCAGATCAAACGCACCTGAGACTTCAGCTTTTTCTTTCTCTCTCTGTCAGCGAGCTGACCGCTCTCATCCTCCAGAGAGTTCCATCTCCCAAGCAATAAATCACTTGCTCTTCCTCATCCTCTCTCCTCCTCATCCTCTCCTCTTCTTATCTTTCCATCCTCCATCAGACTGGCCTTGTCTCCTCCCGTCCGCCTCCTCTGATCAAACGCACGCCTTCCTTTCTTATGCAGATTTCAGCTTATATAAAGTCATTTTCCCTCTCTATCAGTTTCCTTTCTCTATCAGTCTTCTCCTTTTTATGAGAGATGTGTGTATTAATAAGAACGCACCAGGATGAACACCCTGGGCCTGTAATCATCAATTCCATTTCCGTTTCTGCTGGTGCTGATAGCCGCATTTCTTTCAGAATAAATATAGACAAACACATCAAGTGCATCAAACTCAGGCAGTTCTAGAGATTTTATTTCAAGCCAATTCAAATGCTAATTTTATAGTTATCTGTCAATATGATATTTTTATGCACCTCCATAAACTTTAAGGCAGCCCTAGACATCAAACTCGAGTTTCTGGATTTGTTAGGTTTAGCTCAAAAGGCTTTTTATAATAGAGACACATGTAAATTAGATAAGGCCTAAGATTCTGTTCATAGTATTCCCCATATATTGCTTCAGGGGCACATCAGTGTGCTTAAAAGCATTGTAGCCGGTACTTACTCCTCTGTAAAGTGTTTTAAATTAGTAATTGCATTAAATTGAGGGCAAATTAGCAACTCATGCAGTGTTTCGTTCTTCATTTAGAATGAACTAAGTTATGTCGAATGTTAATGCAGTTCTTCATTCTAAATTCGAGCTTAACAGTGTTTATTTGCCTATTTATTAGGGCTGTTTAATGCGACTGACATGTTTTCTTAGTATGACCCTTCGTATCGTCTGTAGTAGTGCAGACTGAAGCCCTACAGCTTTAAAACAGCTTTTTAAGTGATACTTTTGGCAGACTGGGCTGGTCAGTGCTCATGAGAGCGCTGTTATGTAGTGAGTGATATGGCCTGTTCTTTATGATGATTATATGATACAGCGCAATATGTGCCATTTTTATATTGGTTTATAAAGTACAGCTACTAGTAGTTTGTTCCATGCTGTATTTTGTGTTGGAGCAGCTTCACAGGTTAATAGTTGTTTTATCATAAATATTGCAAACATATTATAAAAAAATAAGTTCAGAATATATCTTTATAACATTAAAAACGTATTTTAAAAAATGATTTTAAAAATGCAATATTGTGATAATATTATAAACCGTGATAAAAGGTTAGATAATTGTTGTGATAATTTCTTTAATACTGGCACATGCCTAATTCACTGAGTGACCGAGTTAAAAGTGACCAGTAAAAGTAGAAGTTCCTCCCTTTAGACCTCCACTTGAGTAAAAGTACTAAAGTATTTGCCTTCAAATGGACTTAAGTATCAAAAGTAAAAGTACTAAAAGATTAATTATGGCTCTGATGTCCTATTATCATTTTTGTAACAAGACTCGCTTCATTAACTCGTTTTAGGTGAAAATACTGCAGTGTCTCTCTTGGTAAACCAGTCTTTTAATAGAATGTCATTAATTAGTGACGCTGATGTCTATTAAAATTATCATAAGCACAAAACACTGAAGGCGAACAGTTTCCATCAGGTAGAACTGAGTGGCTCTGAAATCACTTTTTACAAACAAGCAAAGTTTCAGTTTAAGATTTATTTGAACTTAGTTACAAGTTTAAGTTCAATAAAAACTTTAAACTCAGATTCACAAATGAGTTTCCTTTACTAAACTGCATCTGTAGGTCTCTGTTCATAAACATAAACTAGCCAAAACTAATTTACTATAAAATGAAATAGTGTTTGTATAAATTCAGAAAAAAGACACGTCAGTCACAACTGCATATGTGTACATATTTCTATATTGTGGTCTGTTTACACAAAGTTAGGTTAGTTCATCATTTATGTTGAATAGACTCTCCCAAAATTTTACGCTGCTGCACTGATGTTGAACCGTGTGCTGCACTGGGTCGGTATGACCAACAGGTCAAAACAAGCTCAAAACTAAGTGACCGCTGTGCCCTGATTAGTGTTTTTGCTTCACGCTTCTTTCGTTTTGACATGTTATGTTTTTATACACACATAAACCAAAAGGAACGACAGATTTCTCATAATGTAGTGGAGTAAAAAGTGAGATATTTGACTTTGAAATGTAGTGGAGTGAAAGTAAAAAGTCACCAAAAATGGAAATTCTTCAGTAAAGTACAGATACACAGAAAAACTACTTAAGTACAGTAACGAATTACATTTACTTCGTTACTGTCCACCACTGCATTTCATAGTACTAATATCATTTTTATTTATGAATAAACATTGAATTTTGCAATGTGCAGCCTCTGAACACTAATAATCCAGCCTGAAAGGAACAATAACACTGTGAAAATAACATGCACTGTTTTTATGATAATAATAATAATAATTAAAATAACTCTTTTTTGAGACAAAAAGCATTTCTCACACTCAAGGTTGCTAAACGTTGAGATAATTATCCTAAACGAGAAGTTATGCTGTGTGCTCTAAGTGTGCGTCTCTCCTTGTGGGAAGCAACAGACTTCGAAATCTCTATTAAATCCATTTCACCTTTGTGGAATATTTGCATTTTAATTAAGAATAATTTAATTTAAATAACTGGAATAGTGCAATGCATTTGTTTGCATTAATAGTGTAAATAGAGCAATTACAGCTGCAGAATATTATTTGCTCTGTATATGAATGTATATGAATTTGAAGTGGGCAACAAACCTCCGACCACTCCCTACAGCTTCATAGCAAATCGAGTGTTGTTCAGAAACGGCAGGTTGCACCTCTAATCGTGTCGTTGAAGGCTCCCAAATCCAAAACGCTCATCCTGTATCACAGCTCCCTCCTTTTCAGACCACTTCTGCTTTTTTGGCTGTCTGGTGCTAAGCAGTTGCTGCAGTTGTGTTTTTATAGCATCGTCTCGCTCTTAATGACCTGACAGCGCCCGAGCGCAGTGTGTTAGATGAAGAGAGCGCAACCGGAGCTCTTCATTAACAAGGCTTTTAACGAGGAGGATTTGGCATCGCATGGTAATTACAGATGACAAAGAGAGCAGGCAGGGAGCAGGGAGGTAATTCTCACCACTTAATCGACGCAAAACACACACACACACACACATGCTCGCACACGACTGCGTGCGTTTTCACCTCTGCATGTGTATCAGAGGTGTGAGATAAACATGGCTCATCAGCGACAAAAGGTTCAGAGCAAATAGACATGAACCAGAAAAAATGATGGTATGTATTTATATACAACTGTGCAGAATCAGAGACCACCTTTCTTTAATGAGCGTCTATTTCCAGTCAAAATGGCCGTTAAGTACAAGTCATAGATTTTTCCAGAGATATTCCTGAGGAGATTAGATAAAACATAATCCACTCAAATAATAAAGCAGGAAATCAAAGGGAAAAAGAAACAGGAGTTTCCAAGATTCCAAGGAACAATGGAAGAGCTGGTAGACACCAAAACTGCCCCCATCAGATAAACAGCACTGAAAGCTTTCATCTCTGAGAGAGAGGAGAAAATCAAGCTGCTTCAGGTCTGAAAACATCCACAGGTGTTTCTGTCCGTCCTTCCACTGTGACGACTCAGCGCTGTGGGTCTGAAAGGAGGTGTAGCTGTTCAAGAAGCTGTTACCGAAAAAAAGGAAATAGAGAAAAAAGAACAAAATTACCAGATTAAACAAAAGAGGTTGCTGGTGTTCTGGGAACAACAGACTGACCACCCCAGAGTCCAGGCCTTAACATTATTGAATGTGGTTTGGATTACTTGCATCATGAGAGGCAGAAAATGCAACCAACTTCTATGACTGAACTTTGGAGCTGTGGAAAAATATCCCTACAGATTTCTTGGAAAAACTGAAAGCAAGAAACTTAAAAGAATGAAAAAATGCTCTATTAAATTTAGCTGTTATGGTTTCTTTGTACTTTTCTGTAAATACATTAACATTAAATACAGTAACGTCAAAAACATATGAAGGTTAGGATTAGGGCCAGGGTGAGGGTTAGGATTAGGCTTTGGCTTGAGGTTGAGGTTAAGGTTAGGATTAGGGCCAGGGTGAGGGCTGGGATTAGGTTTTGGCTTGAGGTTGAGGTTAAGGTTAGGATTAGGGCCAGGGTGAGGGCTGGGATTAGGTTTTGGGCTGAGGTTAAGTTTAGGGTTAGTATTAGAGCCAGGGTTAGGATTAGGTTTCTGGTTTAAGGTTAAAGTTAAGGTTAGGATTAGAGCCAGGGTGAGGGTTAGGATTAGGTTTCTGGATTGAGGTTAAGGTTAGGATTAGAGCCAGGGTGAAGGTTAGGATTAGGTTTCTGGATTGAGGTTAAGGTTAAGGTTAGGATTAGGGCCAGGGTGAAGGTTAGGATTAGGTTTCTGGTTTAAGGTTAAAGTTAAGGTTAGGATTAGAGCCAGGGTGAGGGTTAGGATTAGGTTTCTGGATTGAGGTTAAGGTTAGGATTAGAGCCAGGGTGAAGGTTAGGATTAGGTTTCTGGATTGAGGTTAAGGTTAAGGTTAGGATTAGAGCCAGGGTGAAGGTTAGGATTAGGTTTCTGGATTGAGGTTAAGGTTAAGGTTAGGATTAGAGCCAGGGTGAAGGTTAAGATTAGGTTCTGGATTGAGGTTAAGGTTAGGATTAGGGCCAGGGTGAGGGTTAGGTTTTGGGTTGAGGTATAGATAAGATATTTACTTCATTGTATTCAGATGCTTCACTACTGCTACTTCACTGATATGTTATTGATGTCTTATTGATAATCTGTTAAGAGTTTATTAATCTTGTCCAAAATATACTCCAAATATAGTGTTACCATATGTTTTGCTTTTGTTGTGCCACTGAAAAATGAATGTCAGTTTGTTTCGATTGGAATTAAATACATGAAAGGAGTTCACTGACTCTGCTGCTGTACTGGATGTGTGTGTCTGTGTTTGTGGCTTCCTGTTTGAGTGTATTTGCACATGTCCTTCCTTTTGTGCTTTCCATGTGTTTGGTTTTGCTAAAAATACCACAGAGAGAGTGAAGTCTACTTATGTGTGCTTGTGTAAGCAAGCTAAGTAATCTGTGTGTGAATATCCCAAGAGTTCACAGCTTTTCTTAAATCTCTCTCTCTCTTTCTGTCTCTCTCTCTGTCTCTCTCTCTCGCTCTGTAGAAGTGGCAGTGTGTGGAGGACTCCACAGGGAAGCTGAGGCTGTATAAATGTAAAGGCATGGCCAGCCTGTCTACAGTGAGGAAGCAGCCAATGTCTAGTGTCAAGTCCCAGCTATACCAGCGTAGCGCCGCCGCCAATGCTAACGCCGACGCTGAACCTGACAACTGCAACTGTGACGACTTCGGCAACTACAGACTGAGTGCCCTGAAGAAGAAGAAACTGCTGTCCAAGAAGAGTATGTAGAAAACAAACATACTGTTATATATGTTTCTGTTATATATACAACGGTATATAACAGTACATACAGTACAGTACATCACCGGTCAGGCATAACATTATGACCACCTCTTCGTTTCTACGCTCATTGTCCATTTTATCAGCTCCACTTACTATATAGGTGCACTTTGTAGTTCTACAGTTACAGACTGTAGTCCATCTGTTTCTCTGATACTTTGTTAGCCCCCTTTTACCCTGTTCTTCAGGGGTCAGGACCCCCATGGACCCTCACAGAGCAGGTACTATTTGGGTGGTGGATCGTTCTCAGCACTGCAGTGACACTGACGTGGTGGTGGTGTGTTAGTGTGTGTTGTGCTGGTACGAGTGGATCAGACACAGCAGTGCTGCTGGAGTTTTAAACACGTCAGTGTCACTGCTGGACTGAGAATAGTCCACCAACCAAAAATATCCATCATTGACCACTGATGAAAGACTAGAGGATGACCAACACAAACTGTGCAGCAGCAGATGAGCTATCGTCTCTGACTTTACATCTACAAGGTGGACTGTCAAGGTAGGAGTGTCTAATAGAGTGGATAGTGAGTGGACACAGTGTTTAAAACTCCAGCAGCACTGCTGTGTCTGATCCACTCATACCAGCACAACACACCACCACCACGTCACTTTGCTTTAACATGTGTGACTGGATTCTGTTTACACGTTTTACCTAAATGCGTTCCTAGTGTAGCCAGATGAGATCCGATTTCACTTTTCCCACGTAAAAAGCATGTCCGCACATTGTTTACACATTGTTTTACTTTTGTTTACTCCTTTCCCTGTTACAATATGAGTGGACAAGCTTGGAATGGACAATTTCAATGGCCTGGAGTGCATGAAGGGTCTTGATCTGGGGCTGATTTCAGCCTTTTATATCCTCCATCTTAATCCTCTCACTTGCTATTCAGAGCTCTGCAGAGGCATTTCTGCTCACATGATTGCTTACGGATAGTGAAAATGCGTTCCATTTACAATCTGCAATCTACAAATGTGGTAGATCTGATCGTAGTTGGCTCACGATGCATCCCGGAGGTGTTCACACCTGGCTTTTCATGCAGTCAAGTGACGCAAAAACACGATTTAATTACCAAAACGCATGTCAAGGCAAGGTGTGAACAGGCCCATACGGATAGAGCCAAAACGTGGACCAGCTGGGGGTCCCTGAGGACCAGTTTGAGAACCACTGTATTAACCGTGATAGAACCACAGGGTTTATACTGGTGGAAATAGTGTCAAAAGTGTATAGTAGTAATACTGGAGTTTTATATCCACAGTCCTGCTCAGCTGCTGCCGTGCAGCGGTTTCTGAAAGTCCAGTATAGATTCAGAGCAGAACTGACATCGCTAACAGCGTCTTTTAGATGCTGGAAACGTTTATTTAATCAGAGCAATTCTGTGTTTGCATATCGCCATGTCATGACGCAAAAGCAGCGTTACAGTAATCCACGACTGAAGCTTTTGCATTTGTTTTTCAAGTTCAAGACAATTTTTTTTTAGCTTTTTTTTACTTCTGAAGAAAGCTAAATAAAAAAGCAGAAAAAAGCATTTTTCTTATGCATAGAAGGGATTATACATTCATAAGATGTGAATTTAGGTGTTAACTCCACATTACAAGGTCTAAAGAAAGTAACTAATAATGCAATTAGAGGTTTTCACATAATAGACCTCCAACTCTATTAGGCATTAAGTGAGATAGTAATAAACTAAAAATACAAAATCAAAATCTACAGAATCATCATTTATAGGGTGCTCTGTATTGAGAGGCATGTCCCAAAGCCTAACTGCTAAATATCTACATGTGAAAATAATACTCCATTTTTATTTGTTTTTTATTTACCTTGAGTATAATGAATATTTTATATTAATATAAGATATTGTATTAATAATATACAATATAATAAAATAAAATAGAACGTAATATAACATAATATTAATAAAAATAATATTTTTTTAAATAAAAAGCTTTTAAAAAATGCTATTCCACGTTTTCATGTGTCGTGTCACTCAAAGCAATTTTAGAATTTGTTTAAAAGTCTGATATGTGTTTTTGAACTCTGACTCTATATATGATCGGTGTGTGTGTGTGTGTACATGTATATATATGTATATACACACGCACAGCTGTGTCTGATCCACTCGTACCAGCACAACACACACTAACACACCACCACCACGTCAGTGTTACTGCAGTGCTGAGAATGATCCACCACCCAAATAGTACCTGCTCTGTGAGGGTCCATGGGGGTCCTGACCACTGAAGAACAGGGTAAAAGGGGGCTAACAAAGTATCAGAGAAACAGATGGACTACAGTCTGTAACTGTAGAACTACAAAGTGCACCTATATAGTAAGTGGAGCTGATAAAATGGACAATGAGCATAGAAACAAGGAGGTGGTCATAATGTTATGCCTGATCGGTGTATGTATGTATATATATATATATATATAAATATATATGTATATATATATAGTATATATATATATAGTATTAGTATCTGCTGTAAATTTAGTATCTGCTATAAATCAATAACTACTATGAAACCATGTAAGTCCTGTAGATACAGGACTGATGTACTGAAATGTGCAGCTTTAGAATCTAAGGGTTAAATCTGTACACACTCTCCGCACTCACGCTGACCGTTTCACTACTACTCTACTGCCCTCTAGTGGAGGAAGTGTGATATCACGCTCTCCTGTGTGTTTAACAGAGCTGAAGGCACTGAAGGGCTACTCCAGGAACCGTTATGCTCGCGCTGTCTCTATGGAGATGGGTGGAGATCTGTATGCTGTGGATCTGGACAGAGGCTACCAGCCGATCAACAGGAGCAACCTGAGCCATGGGCAGCAGGAGGAGGAGGTCTTCAGCGGGATGGGGCCAACCACAGCTGAGCCGCAAACCAGCAACAGCCTGGTGCCTTCATCTATAAAAGTCACACACAGGTGAGGGAGGATGTGTGGGTATTTGTTTATTTTTACAAATGAATTAATACAGTAGATATTTCTACCAATATTCAAATAAAGTTTGGACCAGGTAACTAGTGATGCTATAAATATTCATTTTTATCATTAGTAATTCCTGATTTGTGAAAATGATTCCACAAGGACAATTCTTCCGTTCGTTCTTTCTTTCTTTCTTTCTTTCTTTCTTTCTTTCTTTCTTTCTTTCTTTCTTTCTTTCTTTCTTCCTTTCTTTCTTCTTTCCTTCCTTCCCTCCCTTCCCTCCCTTACCTCCCTACCTCCCTCCCTTCTTTCTTTCTTTCTTTCCTTCCGTTCTTCCTTCCTTTCTTTCTTTCTTTCTTTCTTTCTTCTTTCCTTCCTTCCTTCCTTTACCTCCCTACCTCCCTCCCTTCTTTCTTTCTTTCTTTCCTTCCGTTCTTCCTTCCTTTCTTTCTTTCTTTCTTCTTTCCTTCCTTCCCTCCCTTACCTCCCTACCTCCCTCCCTTCTTTCTTTCTTTCTTTCCTTCCGTTCTTCCTTCCTTTCTTTCTTTCTTTCTTTCTTTCTTTCTTTCTTCTTTCCTTCCTTCCTTCCCTTACCTACCTACCTCCCTCCCTTCTTTCTTTCTTTCTTTCCTTCCGTTCTTCCTTCCTTTCTTTCTTTCTTTCTTTCTTTCTTTCTTTCTTTCTTCTCTCCTTCCTTCCCTCCCTTACCTCCCTACCTCCCTCCCTTCTTTCTTTCTTTCTTTCCTTCTGTTCTTCCTTCCTTTCTTTCTTTCTTTCTTTCTTCTTTCCTTCCTTCCTTCCCTTACCTCCCTACCTCCCTCCCTTCTTTCTTTCTTTCTTTCCTTTCTTTCTTTCTTTCTTTCTTCCTTCCTTCCTTCCCTCCCTTACCTCCCTACCTCCCTCCCTTCTTTCTTTCTTTCTTTCTTTCCTTCCGTTCTTCCTTTCTTTCTTTCTTTCTTTCTTTCTTTCTTTCCTTCCTTCCTTCCCTCCCTTACCTCCCTACCTCCCTCCCTTCTTTCTTTCTTTCTTTCCTTCCGTTCTTCCGTTCTTCCTTCCTTTCTTTCTTTCTTTCTTTCTTTCTTTCTTTCTTCTTTCCTTCCTTCCCTCCCTTACCTCCCTACCTCCCTCCCTTCTTTCTTTCTTTCTTTCCTTCCGTTCTTCCTTTCTTTCTTTCTTTCTTTCTTTCTTTCTTTCTTTCTTTCTTCTTTCCTTCCTTCCTTCCTTCCCTCCCTTCCCTCCCTACCTCCCTCCCTTCTTTCTTTCTTTCTTTCCTTCCGTTCTTCCTTCCTTTCTTTCTTTCTTTCTTTCTTCTTTTCTTCCTTCCCTCCCTTACCTCCCTACCTCCCTCCCTTCTTTCTTTCTTTCTTTCCTTCCGTTCTTCCTTTCTTTCTTTCTTTCTTTCTTTCTTTCTTTCTTTCTTTCTTTCTTTCTTTCCTTCCTTCCTTCCCTCCCTTACCTCCCTACCTCCCTCCCTTCTTTCTTTCTTTCTTTCCTTCCGTTCTTCCTTCCTTTCTTTCTTTCTTTCTTTCTTCTTTCCTTCCTTCCCTCCCTTACCTCCCTACCTCCCTCCCTTCTTTCTTTCTTTCTTTCCTTCCGTTCTTCCTTCCTTCCTTTCTTTCTTTCTTTCTTTCTTTCTTTCTTTCTTTCCTTCCTTCCTTCCCTCCCTTACCTCCCTACCTCCCTCCCTTCTTTCTTTCTTTCTTTCCTTCCGTTCTTCCTTCCTTCCTTCCTTTCTTTCTTTCTTTCTTTCTTCCTTCCTTCCTTCCCTCCCTTACCTCCCTACCTCCCTCCCTTCTTTCTTTCTTTCTTTCCTTCCGTTCTTCCTTTCTTTCTTTCTTTCTTTCTTTCTTTCCTTCCTTCCTTCCCTCCCTTACCTCCCTACCTCCCTCCCTTCTTTCTTTCTTTCTTTCTTTCCTTCTGTTCTTCCTTCCTTCCTTTCTTTCTTTCTTTCTTTCTTTCTTTCTTCTTTCCTTCCTTCCCTCCCTTCCCTCCCTTACCTCCCTACCTCCCTCCCTTCTTTCTTTCTTTCTTTCTTTCTTTCCTTCCGTTCTTCCTTCCTTTCTTTCTTTCTTTCTTTCTTTCTTTCTTTCCATGGACGGGGAAGTGATGGTTGACTTTCAGTTGAAAATCAGACCTTATGGTTAACCAAGAAAATCTTTATTTGTGAACAGCTCTGGTCTCTTAGTAAGATTTATGAGAGACAGTCTCATCTATAATGCTGAACCGTGACTGTTGTGACTGTGTGTAACTCCATGATGCCCCTTTATTTTCAGGTGTTCTATTTTGGCCAATGACACAGTAAAGTGTGATGTTGGACTGTACAAGTCTCTGCAGGCGTGGAAGGACCATAAACTCCACATTGACCATGAGGTGGGCTGCACACACAGGACACATTACACACACTCACACATACACACAGACCCCGTTTACTCCTGCTCATTTCATGGAGATGATTTTATTATAAAGCCTCCTAGTTTATCTGTTTCCAGTATAGTTGTTAAGAGTCCCTGAAAGGCTCTGCATAGTTTATCACTGTTTAATTAAGTCTTAATGCCTTAAGCCTTTAAGATAAAAGCAGATCATGTGATTAAGAGTCAAAATCATGGGTAGATTACTACAGAGCCCCTGCTGGTGACATCCTGTATGAATAAAAATAGCGGCCACGTCTTAGTAAGGCATGGGAACAAGATCCTAATGCGAGGCCACGACTTACTAAGGCATGATCTTGTTCCAATGCCTTAGTGGTGGCCACTACTTAATTATCTCATTCCCAAGACTTACTAAGTCGTGGCCATGCATTAGGATCTCGTTCCCACACGATAATAAGGCGTGGCCACGCATTATTTTTATTTATATGGGATGTCACCAGCAGGGCTCCGTAGTTTCCGACTCCAGGTGACCATATGGGTAGTGTTTCTCCTGAATATCCTGTCGTCTGAATGGCTGGTCCATAATTCCTACGGAGCCCTGCTGGTGACCTGCCATATAAATAAAAATAATGCGTGACCACGCCTTATTAACGCGTGGGAATGAGATCCTAATGCATGGCCACGAATGAGTAAGGCATGATCTTGTTCCCACGCCTTACTAAGTGGTGACCGTGACTTAATTATCTCATTCCCAAGACTTCTAAGTCGTGGTCATGCATTAGGATCTCGTTCCCACACGATAATAAGGCGTGGCCATGCATTATTTTTATTTATATGGGATGTCCCTAGCAGGGCTCCATAGATTACTCAATTAATAATACCAATTTTAGCCACAGCCCTACTGCCCATTAGCTCAACTTGAACATCAGCATAGATTAACTAAAGTAGCTAGTTGACAAGCACTCGCAGTTAAACATACGCAGCAGCTTTTAACTGTAATAAATAGCCTCCATACCTGCTATTCTAAAACAACAAAGTCAGAGGAAACTAGTACAGTCACGAATAAGAATAAGCAGAGATTTCGAGAGGCATATTTGGCAACCGATAAGCGTCGCTTTCTTTCGTTGAATCAGATGAATCTTTTTGAATCACCCTGTATTTTCCTCCCTGAGGTCTACTTATGACGGATGTGCCAGTTCATTTTTACATGATCATTTTCCAACCTCTCTTTATCCGTTAGATTCAAACAGGATGATTTGATTACCGTCTTTAAGACTGATGTACGTAAATGAGCTCTGTCCTGAATGTTTTGTGCCTTATTCAGACTAAAACGCTCCTTATATCTTTAACATGAATGGGCAGAGCTAAACTGCCATAGACTGAATAGTCAAGTCAAGTCAAAGTTTATGTATGTAGCGCTTTTTACAACAGGTGTTGTCACAAAGCAGCTTTACAGAAAAGTCCGGGTCCGAGCCCCATTAGCGTCGCCAATGGCAACAGTGGCAAGGAAAAACTCCTTGGAACCAAGACTCAAAAGGGGAACCCATCCTCCTCTGGTCGACACCGGATGGCAAACAGCATTCGTGTAAAATATTAGAATACAAAACAGGGAAAAGAAAATAGGTGGATCTATGCAAATATGTTGGTTTTTGTAACATTGCAGAAACAATTCAAAACAGGCTGTTTTTGCAGTTTTTTTGTCTTTAGTTCACTTAAAAAAATTTATATTGACAAATTGGATAATCTATGTACTTTGTGTGTAATAATAACGTAGCCTAGGCATGTTTGTGCATCTATATGTGTGCAGGTGTGCTAAGCATGTATTCTGTTATTGCGATCTGACATTTGTAAACAAAGTAAACAAAGCAGTTTCATGTTTTGGACGGTCATTTTTCACTTCTCGACAGCTGACACCATTTTTTGGAGCCGTGCTCAACACGCATGAAACAACCAGGTCACCCACTCACTTAATAATGAAGTCTGTATCATCTCCCCCCAGATCGAGACGCTACAGACGAAGATTAAGAATCTGAGAGAGGTCAGAGGTCACCTGAAGAAGGTGCGGCCTGAGGAGTGTGACTGCAACAAATACATGTAAGAGCGACTCCTGTCAGTCGTGTTTTTTTACTTGGCTCCACAGTGATGTGTGGAAACAAGACAGCCTTATTATTATGGAATAGCTATTGTTATTTCAGAAATATTAATTTGATCAAGGTACCGTACATTTCTGTTTACAAAGGTACAAAAAACTTAAATGTACCTTCAAAGGGACAACAGTGCTCTTAAGGTCCAGTTGTTTACTGTAAATATGTTTTTAAGGTATACAATATTCATTTCCCAGAGAAACAAACATATTTGTATCTTTTCATAACCTAAAAAATAGAAGAATAAAATAAAAAGCTTGGACTCCAGAAAGTTTGTATGAAGTTAATGCAGCTTAAAAACTATAACTGCAGTGGAATATGGTCCAGTTATGTTCTCCTGCTAAAGGTACTGAAGATCTACCCTTGATGGTTCCACTCCAGTGACAGTTTAGTGTCTTTTTTCTGGAGAGTGTAGTTAAAGAAAAACTATTTAAAGAAAAGAGGCAATTTGTTGCTTGCCCAAATAGTAGTTTTTGAAAAAATATCCATATTTTTTTGCCACTCCAGTTCTTTTCATGCAACAACAGACATGACAACAGCATTAAAGGGCCCATATAACACATCTTCTCGTTCTATACAGGATGATTCAAAAAGATTCATCCGATTTCAAAGCAACATATTTTTATAACCATGAGGCGCCTAGGAACCAATCACATACCAATTGAAAGAGGGGGTCATAGAGTTTCTAACTGTCACCGGAAGATGGCTCCCTTCAGTCTGAGAGGAGATGAGACCCCTGAGCAGAAAGCGTTCTGCGTTCTCCACTTCAATAAGAGTGAATCCGTCATAACTGATTTCCGTGGGCAGTGAAGCTCCAACAGCTCAGAGCGTTCGGCGTTGGTTCCACAACACTGGATGATCTCCGAAATCGCACTGAAAGAGCCGTGAGTGCAGCGACACCCGACATGATCAATCCAGTATGGGATGAATTTGACTATGGCGTTGATGTTGTCTGTACAGCTGGAGGAGGTTCATACTGAGACCTTGTACAATTACATAATAAACTTTATGCTCATTTAAACCATTTACAGTTCACTGCATTGATCTGTAATGATTTACAAGTGAAATAAATCATTTTGAAATCGGAAGAATCTTTTTGAATCACCCTGTATTTTCATCCCTGAGGTCTACTTATGACGGATGTGCCAGTTCATTTTTACGTGATAATTTTCCAACCTCTCTTTATCCGTTAGAATTAAACAGGATGATTTTATCCCTGTCTTTAAGACTGATGTACGTAAATGAGCTCTGTCCTGATTGTTTTGTGCCTTATTTGGACTAAAACGCTCCTTATAACTTTAACATGAATGGGCAGAGCTAAACTGCCATAGACTGAATAGTCAAGTCAAGTCAAAGTTTGTTTATATTGCGCTGGTGCTGTCACAAAGCAGCTTTACAGAAAAGTCCGGGTCCGAGCCCCCATGAGCGTCGCTAGCGGCGACAGTGGCAAGGAAAAACTCTCTAAGAGGAAGAGGAAGAAACCTTGAGAGGAACCAAGACTCAAAAGGGGAACCCATCCTCCTCTGGTCGACACCGGATAGCAAACAGCATTAGTATAAAATATTAGAATACAAAACAGGGAAAAAAAATAGGTGGATCTATGCAAATATGTTCGTTTATGTAACATTGCAAAAACAATCCAAAGCTTAGTTTCCATATATGGACTAGGAAGTGAACAGTATGTTTTGACTCTTACAGTAGCAGTGTTTACACACTACATTAAACTCTTAGTTAAAAAAAGTGAGGAAAAGTTTTAATTACTTAAAGATCAGAGTAGAGTAAATAGCTGGTATGATTATTTTTGTTTTGGCATTAAGGTTGTCGGTTCACGTGCTGGTTAACCTGACCTTTCACCTCAGGTAAATTGGATGTGCACCATTCTTCCACAACATAAATTTGTAATGATTTCTTTGTTTTTTGTTCCAGATACAAGTCTAAGTTCAAGAGTAAGCTGAGAAAATACAAGTCAGGTAGCATCCACCCATTCAGGTGAGAGACACTGCCGTGTGTGTGTGTGTGTGTGTGTGTGTGTGTGTGTGTGTGTACATCAGCGGTGGAAACAGAATTTAATTTTAGGTGGGGCCTGGTTAGACGTTTAGGGGAAGCATCGTGTCCCAGATGCATTGCTGTAGTGAAGTGGTCAACCACCAACTAGCTCACTTCACTTTGGCTTCCATAGAGAAAAGAAATGACATCTTAAACCCAACACACCATTACTGACCTGCATTCAACAGCCTAGTTACTATAACAGCGGACAGTGTACAGCAGCCACTGACTAACCACAGTCCACTAAAGGTGGACGTCTAGGGCAAATGGCTCAGGACAGCAGCCTTTTCCCCACAGTATTCAACTTTGTTTCCTTTACCACGGTTAACTTGTTATAGCTGGGTAAGTAGAAGCCTCTGCTAATTTCCCACAATCTACAGAAACACTCGAGCAGGTTGAGAATGTGTTTAACGGTACATGTTGGCATTTGTGGGGCTTGTTGTGTGGAGAACTGACCTAAAGCCGTGACGTTATACGACTGATGGTGCATACGTTGCCATGGTGATGGTGGT